AAGAATAACCATCGGTTATTAAATACACAACGTTTACTTTTAAATATCATCAAAATAGGCAATTAATACCTCTTGATTAAAAAATTTTACAATATTCGTCAGGTATCAGAAACTGGATTCATGAGCCCAACTCACTTATACTAACGAATAACTAGTTGTCAACTGATTTTTTAAAAAAGCCTTATCCGAGAAATACAAACGATTTCTCTTGTTGATGGATAATGACTGAACGTAAAAGAGAAGCATCAAATTTGCTTTTTTTCCACTTCCCTTTACACTTTTGATAATTAATTTATTTACAAATTGGCACCATCTCATCTTTGTATAATCTTCATTTCACGATCTCTCTCGTAATTTTTGATCAATCATTGGTACTTCTTGCCGGATAAATAATTACCAGGTTGGCCTGAACTTTATTATCCAATAAAACACAATGTCAGAATGTAAAAACCCTTGAATTTTTGATGATGAAATTTGTATTTAAATTTCTCTTCTAATAGAATTCTACCGATAATTATCTTTGTTTATAAATGATTTTATATTATTAAGTTAATGTCATCAAATATCTACAGAAGGATTTTGAGAAAAATTAATTTATACATTACTTTCTTTGAATTTGCGTGAAAAATGCAATAGTCTTTCAAATTCGGAAATGTAAATTCATCATTATTTACCTGTAAATATTTCTAACAATAATTTATATAAAATTGCTCGATATTATGAATGTTTCTTTTTAAAAAAAAAAAAAAAAATTAAACGCCCTTTATAATTTAATAATAAATAATTTACCCTTGTTTACCTTCATTCGAATTCTTGTTCGGCAATTTCCCATTCAAGTGTGATGCAAACGGAAAGCACTTGTGAGTAGCAGATCCGTTAAAGTTTTCCCGATAACAGATAAAGTATGTTAACGCTCGCGTAAGTTTTAAGAAGTCTATTGGCGCAGATATGTGGCTATAGAAACATAGGTTTATTTTCTAATATTTTTATTTCGTTAACTTTTTAGTAACAATGAGTAGAAGTTGGAATTAGAATGGGCGACCTGACTTAGTCAAGAATAATAAGTTTATCTATAGACAGTGACATAACTTCTAGACGCGTTGCACATGTTCCATTATTCCATTACCAAGACTACATACTATTTATGGTATAAGCTTGAGAACGTGGGCAATTTCCAAAAAAGTCTAATAACGAAAAATGAACTTAATTATGTCATCTATATATTTAGGACTATTTAAATTTGTATATTTCCACAAAAAAATAAAGGAAAAAAAAATGGTTATATTAAATATAAAAGAAAGTTCCGTACAAAATAATACTATTTTATTACCACCAACAGATATAGCTTCATATAAGTTTCCTTTTCAACCATATGATATTCAATTAGAATTTATGAAAAACTTGTATCAAGTTATTGAAAATGGAAAAGTCGGCATATTCGAAAGTCCAACTGGAACTGTACGTTCTTCTTTTGAAATTTCAAAATGTTAATGAAACCTTTTTACTCTGATGAATAATGACGTATCATGTATTAACTAACATCAGGGAAAATCTTTAAGTTTAATATGTGGTGCTTTAAAATGGCTTAAAGATAATGAAGAACGATACGAGAGAGAAGAATATTCGAGTAATACAAGAATGGAAATTACTAATGGTAAAAATTATGTCTGTTTTTTTTATTGAAAAAAATGGTTTTGACGCGTTTATCCGCATTTGGTAGAACCATTATGGGTTATAGAATATAGTAAAAATAAAAAACGCAAAGAAGAATTAGCAAGAAAACAAGAATTAAATGAAAGAATTCAAAAGATCAGAGATAAGGAGAAATTGGAAAGACAAAAGGCCAGTTGTCAAACAATCGACGGTAACATTTTTCGAAAGAGATTGGTATGTATAATAATAATATCATGTCACTTTATAAAAATCATTTTATTAATTATTTAATTGACGGAGGTTAGAAAAAGGATCATAGTGGTTTAGATTTGAATCGAAATAGAAAAGATTCTGATATGGAAGAGTATTTGGTGGAAGAGTACCATAGTGATGATGAAACTGAGAATCACGAAGAAAATGATAACATGTCCGTGCAAGTGAAAGAACTTTTGAAAAGGTCTGTCGAATTATTATTTTCATTTTTCTTATGTAAATCGACTTACGGGATATTTATTCAGATTTCAAGAAGGTAAAAGCCTTGAAAACTTTGATAATGATAAAGAAACTCGAGAACAGGATGAGGAAGAACCTGATGAAATAAAAGTAAAGAATTTTAAAATATTTTCCTGGGGTTTTCAATCATGAAATTACTAAATTACTTGATTCTTATACACGTAGATATTTTATTGCTCTAGAACACACTCACAATTAACACAGTTCGTTAATGAGCTTCGTAAAACTGTATATGCGGAAAATGTAAAATGTGTTTCTTTGGGCTCAAGGAAAAATTTGTGTATTAATGAAGAAGTTAGAAATTTGAAAAGTATGAACAGAATTAATGAAAAGTGTTTGGATATGCAGAAAGCAGGTATTGATAAAGTAAAAATGATTTTGTCACGGTCAAATATTATAAAGTATCTAATTTATTGTATTAATTAGGTACAAAGCCTGAAAAAAGATGTCCATATAATTCTGCAAGAAATCAATCACATATGTTGGATTATAGGGACCACGTATTGGTAAGTTTGTAAAATTTACTTAATCTAAAATTTATTTGAACTAACTATATTACAATTTGAAATTGATGTAGGCTTCGGTACGCGATATTGAAGAATTAGTTGATATAGGCCGTGAATTGGGCGCATGTCCTTATTATGGTACTCGAAAAAGTATTAGGCGGTGTCAGGTAATAGCGTCCTTTTTAGTAATGTTTCTTTTTATATTTACTCTGAATTAATTATATTAAAAAAATTACAGATTGTAACTCTCCCTTACAATCTATTGCTTCAAAAGTCGTCACGAGAATCAATGAAAATTTCACTTAAAGATAATATTGTTATTATTGATGAGGCTCATAACCTCGTTGATACAGTAACTTCTGTTCACACAATTATAATTGATTTACCGCAAATAGTGAAAGTACGTTCACAGTTAAATGCGTATCTTGATCGTTATAAAAAACGATTATTGGGAAAGAATGTGATGTATATCCAACAAATTTTATCATTGTTGGATGCTTTAATAAGATGTTTAACAGCATTTGAAAAAAAATGTGAGGAAAAAGGAAAAGATAAGGAAGGAATGAATTATATTAAAACTGTAAACGATTTTTTACATATTTTGAAGATTGGGGATTTAAATTTGTTTAAAATTGAAAATTATTTGAAAAAAAGTCAAGTTGCTAGAAAGGTGAGTTAATAGTTTCGATGAGATCGTTTGTTTGAACTTTGGATTTTAATTCTTTCTTACATTATAGTTAAATGGATTTGTTGATAAAGTCGAATCAAGAACTAACGTTGAAATTCATCAAATGCAGCAAACTAATAGTAATTATTAAAACTAAATTTATTAAATATGTAAAATCTTATCTCTTATATATTTGAACATTATAGATGATAGGAATCTGTCAACACTTCCATCATTAAGCCAAATTGAAGCGTTCCTGATGTCATTAACTAATGGCAATCAAGATGGACGCGTCATTCTTGGCTTCCAACAAATAATTGTTCCAATTGAAGGGAAACGAGAAACGACAGTAAAATATATACCTAATATCAAATATTTATTGTTAAATCCTTCAAGTCAATTTAAGGACATAGTAGAAGAAGCTAGAAGTGTTATTTTAGCTGGTACCATGGAACCTGTTAGTACCGATTTTTAACTATTTGTTGTAACTGTCTCTATATATATATATGTTAAAAAAATTTTTTGTTTATTTGTCTGATTAAAGATCGATGATTTAACGGAACAATTATTTCCATATCTTCCAACACAAAAATTAAGTAAATTTTCATGTGGACACATCGTACCACCCGAAAATTTATTGACTTTAACGCTATCAGAAGGTCCTATGGGAGGAACTTTTGAATTTACATTTGAACGTCGTGATAATATTAAACTGGTAAGATTATTTAGAATTTAGATATTTGATGTATTAATTGTTTAAACGGCAAATTATATTTAAATCTTTCTAGATTGATGAATTAGGTCAAACTATTATAAATCTTTGTAACGTAATACCTGACGGTGTTGTATGTTTTTTTGCATCTTATACTTATCTGGAACAAGTACATGAACGATGGAAACAAAATGGAATTTTGGAAAGGATAAAAAAACGCAAAATGGTACTGTATTCATTCTGTCAAATTATGCTAAGAACATTTATTAAGTAACCGACTTTTTTATTTTCAGGTTTTTCAAGAACCACGCGAAACACAATTGGTCGAAAAGATTTTAAAACAATATGATTTACATATACATTCTTCTAATAACAAAGATGGTGCATTATTGCTTTGTGTCGTAAACGGAAAAATGAGTGAAGGAATGAATTTTTCAGACAGATTAGGAAGGTAATGTTTTGAAAATATTTTTGAATTATAAATTTGTTATTTTTTTTTCTTGTTCTTTAATAATAAAATTAATTATCTAAAAACAGAGGAATAATAATGGTCGGATTACCATTTGCAAATTTAACTTCGGTTGGATTAAATGAAAAAATGAAATTTATGAATCAAATTGGAAAAACTTCATCAAAAGATAACAATTCTTCACAACGTGGAAACGAATATTACCAGAATCTTTGTATGAAAGCGGTAAATCAATCAATAGGTAATTTTTTTTAACAGATATAGACACGTTTAATCTTCATATAATATTTAATTTTATAACGTTTTTATTTGTAGGTCGAGCTATTCGTCACAGAAATGATTATGCCGCTATAATATTGATTGACAAACGGTTTAATACTAATAATCGAATTAGACAAAAATTACCGACATGGATAAATCAAAGTGTAATTGAATGTCACAAATTTGGTCAGGCGATCGGAAAAGTTTCTGGATTTTTTAAAAATAAAGTTCATCAATTTAGTAGTAATGATTTGTAATGAGATAATTAAAACGATGATATATGTATTATCGAAGATTAAATTCTATTTTAAAATCTCTATTTCTTACGTACGTTACGTACGTGATAATTAATAAATATCGTACTTTGAATTATGTGATTCTGATATAGTTTCGCTGTAAATTTTGTCTGATTTCCAATTCTGATTCATTTCAATAATGGTGGTTTCCAATTTTTTTTTTAACAAATAATTAAAATACCTTATATTGAATTTGGTTAAGTAATATCTATATATTATCTTTGACAAATCAACGAATTTATTTAAAGATATTTTTATCCAAAGAAATGGGAAAATTAAATTTAAGCTTTTTTTGATTTGAATAAATAAATTCTTAAAAAGAAAGATCAGCAATTATAATTGATTTTCAAAATTATAAATTATCAAATTGTTATTTATTTATTTACCTACAATATTAAAAATCAAATTAACTTTCATTAAAAGTCATATTGATTATAATTTTGATCAAGTTTAAATAGACAATTTTAAAATTGTACAATGTTTTTAATCCCTTTTTATATACATTTATATATTTATAAGACTTCTAGCAAATATTCTTATTTCTAATAAATAATATAATTTTTTACAATTTATTTCATATGTATTTATAATTATTCCTTGAATAACATTTTACAGTTCCCTAATAATTTCAATCTAATTAAGTTCATAATGAAATTTAAAATAAAAAATTACTTTATGCAAATTCTTTAATTATACATTTTTATATAAATAATCAATTTTTTTAATATATATTATATATAACATTAATTATTTGTTAAATTTTATTTTATAAAATGTTATAATTCTAATTTTAATAATTAAATTTCTTATAAAATTTACTTCATTTCTTTTAATTTTTCACAAAAATTGCTAAAGAAATTATAATATTTTTAACTAAATTTATAATTTCAGTTTTATTATTTTTAGATTAAATTTAAATAAAAGTTATAATTAAAGAGAATTAAAAGAAACTGAATAAGTATTTGAATAATTATCTAATATTATTTGAATTTTATATCTTTTAAATTTTTTCAATTTTAAAAGTAAGATAAAATTAGTTTCTTAAAATTAATATATATCTATTTATCTTTAATTTATTTTTTAAAAAATTTTCTATAAAAATTATTATAATATTAATAATTTTTAATTTATTTTAGAATACTAGATAAATCTATTTAATTAATTATTTAATTTAAATGAATTAATAAATTGCAAATTTAGAGCTTGAAAAACTCATAAAATGTATATTAAGCTTTTTAATATTAATAATAAAATATTCTTATTTGAAATAAACAAAATTTATTGATTAATATAAATACCAAAATTATAATATAATTTTATTTATAAATATTTAATAAATTAAGTTAATTACTTATCTAATATTATTATATCTTTATATTAAATTATATAAACTGATTAATAGATAAATAATTAAATTATTATCAGTTAAGACAATATTATTATATGAACTTTTAGCTTTAAACTAATTAGATTAATACTAATTAATATATTATTATTAATTAAAACTATTAATAATATAAAATTTATAAAATTAATTAATATTCTACAATTTTTTTAACTTAATTTTATATTAATTTCTTATATTACTTTTAAAATAAATTTCAAAAATCTTATAAATTTTTGTTTACTTTACATATCTTATATTTAAAATATAATTTATCAATTCATACTATTAATAATAAATTTATAATAAACTTTTAGATCTTTATCAGAATAATCATAAAATTTTAAAGATAAGTATTTTATTATTTATATTTATTATAAATTAATTAAATTATTCTATATATCAAATATTATTATTTATTATTTAATCTTATTTTATTTTTTATTTAGATAAAGTTATTAGTTTTTATTATTTAGTTATTATTAATAATATTTCTAAAAGTAATATTTTTAATGATATTATATACTGTATTAAGCAAAATTTATTCTATAGTTTTGGTTAAAGTTTTGTTTTTTATTTATTAATTAATAAAATTTGTTTGTTTATTTATAAAAAATTCATACTTTAATGATTTTATTTGATTTCTTTTATTTTTATTAATAGTTTGATAAATATTAAATTTATTTTATTTGTTTTTATAGTTAGTATATTTACAGTTAAAAAAGGAAAAAGAGTTTTCATATAAAGTTAGATTAGTAGATGTTAAAAATTCTGTTTTTGAATATTGAATAAAGTTAGAAAATTGAAAATTTATATTTGCATATTATGTAATACTTAAAATATATAATCTTTAAAAGATTTATATCTTAACAATTACCAATATAATTTTTATTATTTTGGAAATAAAAATTAATTTTAGTCAAAAAATTAATCTTAACATTTTTTTGCTATAATTGTTCTAATTAAAAATTAAAAATTTAAAAATTAATTATTTTATAGAATTTTACTATTAATTAAATATAAAAATACTTTTAAATAATTTTCTATACTCTAAATTTTAAAATATTATAAAATGCAAATTTATTATTAAAAAACTATTTATTTTAAATATTTAAATAGTCAGATACTTTTGCCTGAAAGTCAGATTCTTTATTTATATCATCAGTTTTTTTTTTAATTTTTTAAAAATCAATTTGGTTAAGTTAAGACATGTGAATTAGAGTGTTCAGGAATATGTGACATAAATATATATGCATATTTTTCACATATGTTATGTGTCACATATTTTATAGAAAATCACATAAAATATACATACACATATTCTGCAATAAATATGATTAGTTAATCATAATCATTGATCATAATCATAAATCTAATTATGAAAAATATCATCAATCATCATCGCTTTTTTTTACAATAATAATAGCAATCAAAAGGGTTAATTCTACGCAAAACTATAAAGACAACTACTATGTTAGTAATGCTATAATGTTTTATAAATTTTGCAATATAATGATTGATCATAAAAATAAATCAAAAGTTGATCAACATTTGAAAACAAATAAACATAAAAATTACAAAATTTCAATAGAACAAAGAAATAATATACCATGAAAACAATCTATACTTGAAACTTTGAATATACATTTGCTAAAAGAAACAAACTTAATTTGAAATTAGTTAAAGCCTTTACTGCAGCTGATATTCCATTAGAAAAGGTTAATAAATTAAGGCTTTTTTTTCATAAATTTTGTAAAAATGGTATGTTTATCATTGATTATTAATTTTTTTTATTTTATTATCATTATTAATTATTTATTATTATTTTATTAGATGGAATAATTGTAGGTGCTAATCAACTATGTGAAAAATTTTTACTAAAAGTCTATAATCAAGAAATTGAAAAATTAAATGTGTTATTATTCTATATATTATACCATTTTTATTGAAAAAGAAAAATTGGATAATAATAGTAAAGCAGTTTGTGATTTAGTAAAGACATTTTAAGATTGGATAGTAGTTTTAATTTTGAAATTACTCTTTTTATTAAATTTAATGCAAACCGGTAAATGAATTTTTAAATTGATTATTAAATTATATAACATTAAATTAAATTATTAATTAACTTTATTTTATTTAGTTTTGTTTCTGATTGATCCTTTGGAATTTAAACCTCATTTTAAACAAGCATATCAAATTGCATTAAACAAATGGAATAAGCATATTCAACATTATTTAGCATTACCTTTATTTAGAAATATTCAATGTTTTAATACTTGATTTATTCATGTATAAATTAATAGACAAAATATTTTATTATATACTAATATAATTGAATTTCAAAATCCTACAAATATTTTATTAGATAAATGGAGTATTTATAATAAATTAGAAAAAGTAATTAAAGAAGGAGAATTGGATTTAAATAAATATTGAAAAGAAAAAAGTTTAATATTACCAAATTTATCAAAAATAACATTGATTTATATTTGGTTATTAGTTGCTAAAGTAGATATAGAAGACAGTTTTTCTAATTATAAAAATATTTTAAGTGAAAGAAGAATGCGCCTTTCTGAAAAATCTATTTTAATACTTAATTTTTTATATTATAATAAAAATAAATAAACTGATTTTTTTTGCGAATCATTTTTACTTTAATAATTTTACCTAAAATTTAAAAATTTAAACATAATTTTTACCAGAATTATGAATATATATTATCGCATATTTTATTTATTAGCACATACATATTTTGAGATTTACTGCTACATATTTTTAGACATCCTATTTCTGTCTTTTTAAATTTGAATAAAAATTACCTTTATATGTAATTTATTATATAATTTTATTAATATTATAATAGTTGATAAATTAGAAAAAAATAAAAAATCAATATAGATTATATATAATAATTTGATAAAAAAATTTAATTATATTAATCCTTTATTCAACTCTAATTTATACATTTTGTTAATTAAAAGAATAATTCTCACTAATCTTATTTTTTATTGAGAAAATAAATATTATAAATTTAATATAATCTTTTTTAACAAATTTAAAAAATATTTAATTAAAATATTTAATTTTCTTATTTTAGCATTTTACAATCAAATTTAGATTCTAAGATATAATAAATAATTAAAGTAAAAAAATCTAAAAAGGTTATTATTAAATTAAAAAAAAAGAAATTAAATTAAAATAGCTTCTCATTTTATAAATCTTGTATCAAGTTTCAGATACTTGAAAAATTTAATATATTTTAACTATTAAGTTTAATTTTTCTTAATAAGACATTTTAGATAGATACTGATATTTTCATTTAAATTTCTTAATAATGATTAAATCATTTAATATAGATTTCTTTAGTTTTTCAGAGAAATATATAAGTGATTAATTAATCTAAATAAACTTGTAATAGAATTTTAAAAGATAGTCATAATTTAATCTATTCTTTTTTTTAGAAATTTTTTTTTTGCTTTTTTTGCTTTTTTTTTTTAAAACATTTTTTTTTAAATTAGTTTTTTATATTTATTATTTTTATATTTTTTTTTTATCTTAAAAAATTAAACTTTAAATA